CCCAAGAGAGTGGCTGATATCGACTTTGAAACTGAAACAGTGATCACTTACAAATCAAACATGGCATGCTCTAAACCGATTGTGCACGGCAATCTTTTCTGAGAAAAGACAACTAATTGAACATGATAAAGTGTAAAGTTAATTAACACTCTTAAATTTGTTGATTACTTTTCACAGGATTATATTGTTCTTTTGGGTAGCAGCTTTCTGTCCCAGCTGTCCCCTTTTTAGCTGAATGTCTTTGGTGAACAATAGAGACACCATAACAAGTCATAAATGGTCCCTATGACAGCAGACCCTGTGAGGCGGCATCTGTAGAAAATGATTAAAACAATTGCATTTTAAAGGTAGTTCCCACAGCAGCCTGGTCCCCTTAGCCCTCTCCTTTATCTCATTTTAGGGAAGACTGTTTAAAACATTTAACCACATATTAGTACATGTTTGTACATTTAATGATTTACTGGAAAAATGAAATAACCTTTAAATAGTGTTTTGGATCATACTGTTTTCAGCACAAAATGTATAGCATCCCACATTGGAATCTAAAAGAACTTATGAATGTATTTTACAGTTTAGTAATGTGTAAGCAAGGATTAGATCTAGACCATATTACACATTAATTCCTCAAGCATAATATTAAATACTTCATTTCAGTGTTTATGTTTCATTGTTGATTTCCTTGTGCAAAATGTTTGGATAAGTAATGACATAATTTCAATAGCACTTAGAAAGGAATAGGTTGTTATTTATAAATAGTAACATCATATTTATTTTAATAAACTGTTTGCAAAAGTGTTATCACTATCATATATTTTCTTTGGCTTCCACAAGCATAGCAAAGAGAATTTCTTTAATCTCCCTTTATTTAGCATTGCAAAAAATTAAAATTTATTTCTATTTCTTGATTTTTCCTATAACAAATGTATGCTCAAAACTAGACAAAAAAAAAAATTTCAGCCCATTTCAAAAGAGACTTATGGATATTGCCTTTCCAAGAAAACAATTCAGGTGGAATTTAATGTATGTGACTTCTTTTTTTAAGATTAAAATTAATAGGAAAATCAGTATGACCTAAGATTGGATCAGAAAATCATTCCAGTTTAGTTTTAATGTGGGCTTTTGTTTAAAAAATACCTAAGCAAATTTCCATGATGAATTTTGACAAGCTGACTTGTTCCAAAAACTAGCTAAAAAAATTGACATGTTAATTTTAAATACAATTTGATAGTTCTTAACAAAATCTGTTCCTAGGAACATTTTAAAGCCCACATAATATTTGTTGGAAATATGTCATTATCACGGGGCCTCCTTTTTATTACTAATCTGCTATTGAGGTAGGCTGAAGAGAAAGCAAAGTTATCCATGGGGAAGTGTTTTTCTATGAGAAAAATGGAAACCTTCTTATGTGAACATCCTATGTTGTATGCAGAAATCGTCTTTGAAAGGTCAATGACCTACTGGGTTCCAGCTGACCTGTTGTAAGACTGTCCCTTTCCGTTTAGCTTCTGTGATTCTTATGCCATTTTTTCTCTGACTGCTAGATAGACAGATGAGCAGTCTTTTGGATGAGGTGATTTGAGGGGGTGGGGGGGGGCTAGAGTTATCAACCTAACAAAAAACTAATATATTAGTATTCTTATAGTTAAGTAGAGACTTAGACACCAATAACTTTTATTCTACAGATTGGTCATTTATTGTATAAATGCTGTCATGATATGCCTAGGATTTTATTTCTCTCTTCCTGTCTGTGTCACTTATATTAAAAAGCAAATGTTTTCCATTAACTTTAAAAAGAATTCAAAAATTGTATTAGGGCAGCATCTTCATAAAGCAAAAACAATTGCCAAATAATATGGAGGAGGGTTAGTAATTTGACATCAGATTTCTGTCCAAGGACTAAGCAAAAGGAGCTTAGATACGGACATGGAAAGTCACTGGCGCTATTTGATGGCTCCATGTCTTATGATCAGAAAATCACCAGTGGCCACAGGGAAAATCTGCTATATGGAGAAGAGGAAAAGGCTGAATTCTAACGACCAGAGCTGAATGTTGGTTTTTAAATTTGTTTCCCCCTCTTGTTCTTATTACTGATACTGCTTAAATTTTATCCTTTACACTAAAAACCTGTTGGGACATGACAACTAACCACCTAGTTAACCATTCTTCCAGCCTCATTTTTGTGGTGCAAAAAATATCCTATGGGACTGATGCTATTCAAAATGGCATGTTTTGTATATCATGGATGTATGGATAAGTCTTTAAAAAAATCAAAACACAGCATTTCCCTGGGTCTGGGGACCATTATTAGAGCTGTGTGAGCAGGCAGAATTGAAGCATTTGGCCATATCCTAGATTTCTAATCTCTTCAAGATTGCCTGGGAAGAGATAACGTTAAGCTTTCCTCCTTGCAGATGTCCATTTCCAGTCCTGCTCAGTGTATTCATTTCCCTCTTAATGATAGCATGCCACAACTAAAAATACCACAGCCACTGAACTTGAAGGTTTGTAGCAAGACCTATAATAAAGAATCAGTACACAGGCACGCAGCATAAAGATAAATTCAAAGATTAAATCCTGGATTTTCATCAAATAGTATACCCTGTGATGGCTTCTTTTAAAATTCTGGAAATTGCATACTGGCTAACTGTCAGGCTTCATTCAGCCAGACCATTACTTGAATGTGAAAACAAACAAGCAGAGATTCAAGTACACAGTTCTTTGATAAAATAGTTTTATTACAGATACTAGAAAGCCTTAATTAGAGCCAGAAATTGCCAACTATAAGACTCAAGTCATATCTGCCTGTCTATCTCCAGTTCATATCTTAGATCTATACTATGTGCCCCAGCAGACTGAAAGCTGTTCATTTCTCTGTGGGAGGGCCAGTTGACAACTGTGTGTACTGTTATTGCTGCAGACCTATCTCATCTCGGGCTTTTCATTGACCTCATTTCTTCTCACACACCATTATCATGTTAAAAAAGACTGCTTGAAAGAAGTTGGCCAGCACTTTGAAGTAGAACAATCCCTTTTGCTGTAAGTAATTGAATAACCTCTAGATTCAGAGTGATTGGAGAAGTTCGGATGCAGAATTGTGAATTTTGGTGATTTAACAATACAGTGAATACATCAATTTAAGTTTGTAAAACTCAGAAACTTTGTGGAAAAGCAATGACTCTATGGGTACACAGGCATTTATTTCAGTTCTGAGACTAAAGAACGAATTTCTAATCTATAGATATAATACTTTTTTGTGGTGGAAAGAAAAGTGTGTTCTCCACCTTGGATCACTATTTAACTCATATATATATATATATAGTTTATATATATATATTATTCATTTTATCTGATTAATATTTTCCCTCTCCTCTAAAAAACAATGCACAATTTTGTTCTATTTCCCAGTAAACTTTCAGCTAAGTAGAGTGAGGATCAGATTAACTAATGAATCATATTCTTAGTAGAGTTTGAAGTTAGATTTCCTCACTTCATATAGTATTTCTGGTATATGCAGCTTGACAATTGGGAAACATTGCTGTAAAAATAGTAGGACAGATCAGTGTACTATATCTACCATGTCTGTCTGATATTGCCCTAAACTGGATAGAATGGCTTTTTCCTGGCCTAGTTGCAAAGAAGATGAACTGAGTTGAGAAAAATAAATCCACCATATAGCAGCAGCAGCAGCATCTTTCGACTTAGCATAGAAGTGGAATAGTCAAGAAACTTGACAAGGTTTCTTCAGCAATTCTGAACTGATGGGGCAGAATTTTCCTAATCCTGAGCATCATAGATATTTTTCTTATGCAGCATAACATGCCATCAAGCACTAATTGTAGTTAGAAATACATTCTTCTTCACTGTGAGAGTTTGCCTTGAGTTTATGTGAGGCCTCTAATTCAATAAGACAAAATTTGGAAATTCTTATAAACAAAATACTTCAGTTTTCTTTTTTTAAAAAAAATGCTTTATTTGTGCCAACTTGAAATATAAAATATGCTAGACAGATGGGAGAGTAACTTGTCAATATTTTTTTTTTCTTCCATTCAATCCTGTCCGAATCTCAGAAACTGCCTAGAAAAGTCCTAGAATTTTCTTGGCAAGGTTTTTCAGAATTGGTTGACCTTACCTCCTTCTAGGGCTCCCTCACTTCAGTGAGGAGTGACTGGCCCAAGGTCGCGAAAGTGACTGGCCCAAGGTCACTCTAGGTGGTATTTGATCTCATAAATACCAAATTGGCTCTCATCAAAATATTAACCAGCTAAAAACGATTACCACATTTTTTTTGTTCTTATATATAATGATTCTCTGGAACAATTTAAAAAACTGTAATTGATAAACACTATTTATAATATTTAATGTTGGAGAGCTTCTGTTAACTTTTAATTCCTATTGGTAAGAGGTCAGGCTACAACATTTATAGCAAATGCCATTGTAACAATGCCTTATAAAAAGGAGAATGTATGAATAAACTCTTCCTTCCATTAAAAAGTGACATTACCTGCTGTTAGATGACTGTCATAGTGGACTGCTGTTACCTGCTGTTAAATGACAGTCTACTATGATAATCATCTAATCTTAAATTAGTTTTCATTTCACAAATAAACTCGCTAGTGCATTTTTTTAAATCTGAAATGGAAATTCTGACATCTTTGACTATTTTCAAAGATACCTGTAGTAATATGCATATGTGTGCGTGTGTGTCTGTAAATGAGTATGTATATATATGCATACGTGTGTGTGTGTATGTGTGCGTGTGTAGAGAGAGAAAGAGAGACTATTAAACTAACCAAAGAGATAGATATCGTTGTAAGCCGCAGAGAAATCAAAGATTAATATCTAAGTAAATGCATACAGGATTGGACCAAAAAAGATAGTGATGAGAGCTGTTTAATTTCATTCCCATACAGATGATAAGCACAAAGGAAGTTTCAAATGGAGTGATATGAAAAGAAGCTTAAAAATCATTAATGACTATGTTATTCTTAATTTAATGGTAGGTGTTGGAGCTGCTCGTGCAGGAAATCTTACCTTCATGGTCGGGGGAGTAGAGCAGGAATTTGATGCTGCAAAAGAGCTGCTCACATGTATGGGTTCCAATGTGGTCTATTGTGGAGAAGTTGGAACTGGACAGGTAAATGCAGATCATTCCTAGGCATGTTATAAGCTTTAGTGTCTCTTCCCTTTCACATTGCATTAATGTGCTTCATAAGCCAAAAATACCTCCCAAACGTATTGAAACTTACTTTCAAACTGAAATTCTTCATTAAACTGGTAATTAATTGACATTTGTTCTATCCTCTCTCCACTTCCAGTAAGATATACTACTGTAGCCCTGTTTATAATGCCACCTTATCTGAAGCATAGGTAAGAAAACTGAAACTTTTCTGGTGAATTTGTAGGGCTCACATGCAAATTTCATGTACAAAATGCAGTTTTGCATTTTTTTTGCAGACATTTTTGTCTTTTTCAGTGTGCTGCGGGCAAGTATCACATTGTTTTTCTTTTAGTTGTATTTGTGACTTAGTTGTTTAGAAGGTAGGTATGTAGATGTGGTATTCTAGAAATTTGATTGCAACTATTCAAATCAACTACTCAAACCCATCAAACTGTTCATGTTAAAATTAGAGTGCAGCAGCCTCTGGAGGGCTACATATCAGCCATCTGTATTCTGATTGTTACTTAACAATAATTTTGCTTAGATTTACTGAAAAGCATCTTATACTATTTCTAAATGAATAAGAAAACTGAGGAAAGTAGCTCATAAATCAACTAGTGTATGCAAAGTGATTTGTCATAAGAAAAAGTCTCCATCTCCTTTGGCAACCTGAAATAATATAAAATGAAAAATAAACTAAGTTACCAAAACAAAAATGTGGAACATTACATATGAAATGCACATTTTCTGCCTTTCTTAGTCCCTTTTATTATATACAACTGAACTCATGTTTATCAAACCTCATCATGTTTTCAACTCCTTGGGTTTTCATTAAATAGGAAATTTGTATTCTAAGGTCATATGCAGCACCAAATCGTATGTGTCTCCCCTAGAATACTATCCAACTATATTGTCTAAAACCTGCTAGAAAATAGGTTTGAAATCTTGTGTATGTATTTGCTTTGTGTTATCATGCTGCTGCTCTGATGGCTTTGTCACCACAAAACATTTTAAACACAGTCATAATAACCAAAGGATATCCACCCCAACTTAGTTTATGAACAGTGTTTTGTTATGGCTTGCCAACTCTACTCATTTTAGGCTGGTTCTTAAATGGTGGCATCATTGAGATTGGGAATATTGCAGTGTTTTTACATTATTTTGTTAAAATTGCACTGAAAAATACAAATTTTGAATAGGAGTCTAACAAACCTATAATTCTATGAGTTGTTTGGAATGTAGTATGGGCACTTCCACATGACAATATTTTTACTTCTGATGACCTATAACAATGGGCCAGTAACACAGTGAGCCATTCAATAGGCAAACAGGAGAATATGGGATTTAGGTAGGGTCCCAGCCCCGACCTACAACAACTCTGAAGGAACAAAAGTTACTTTATCCTCAGTCCACACAAAAAGGGGGGAAAATGAATTGTTATGTCCTCTACCTTGCCCAAGGCCTGATATTTTCAGTATCTGATATGTGCATTCATACGGTCCTTTACAAAATGTTCAGAGCTGTTGAGCTATGAAGATAAAGGCATATCTCTTCCTAGATAGAAATTCCCATTGAAAACTGTGACATGCAGCAAGCTGATTTATTCAATAATGGCAATGATGATTGTAGGTTGCAACATACTTTGAAAATATAACGGTAACCTGACAAATATGTGGGGAAGGAGGGGCAGAAGTTGGTAAGTGTGGTTATTTAAATAGGTTTTTTTCAATCAAAAAGAAAGAGTGAAACTGACTAGATAGATTACGATTGCCTATAGAGACAACATGTTTTGCATTTTAAGTGTTTCAAATATAAAATATTCTGTTTTAAGTTTGAAACATTTTTTCAACCTTAAGACACTTCCCAAATGATGCAAACAATTCATTTTGAATGCAGAACAGCTCTTTTTACTTGAAAATGATACAATTGAATGTGAAATTATTTGTATACCTCTGGTTGCTTATGAAATATACTAATAAAAATATACTAATATGAAATATACTAGTAAAGCCTAAAATAAAAAACAAAAATTACGTATTCTAGCAGCACAAATTAGAGAGAAGAAAAATTTGTTGCTTAGTAGGTCAGGGTAAGGCACAGTATGACACAAATGCCTGATCAGCTCAAATGATACAAGTATTACTGGCTAATTCTCCTAAGGACATATGTAAGAAGGCTCTAAATGAAGATGTTTGGTAGTGATGGTAGCCTCTACCAAAAGATAATAATTGTGATTTCAAGAGCTTTTCATGACTTTTATTGGTTAATTTAAGTGACATAGAATTTTGAAAACCTATTTTGTTTTGAAAACTAGACCACACACTCCCCCAAACCTAGGAAAAGTGGCAATTGAGTGCAGGTGACCATTTATGTGACCCCCAAAAGATTGCCAATATGTGTTCTATAGAGTGGTTATGGAACAAAAACTTCTATATAATATTAAAACTCTTGCTGTTATTAGCATTAACTAGACAAAACGGTCCATCATAGAGCAAGAATTTGTGTACAAAACTGCCTCAAATGGGATGACACAGACAATTCTTCCAAAATCTGGGACCCATGACTCTTGAAGGAATTTGAAAAATTGTGACTGCTTCAGACTGCTATTGTAGTTGGGCTGGTGGTAAAATTATCTTGGTGAAATAATTTTCATTTTGGTAAAATTATCTTCATTTTGAATATGATAGTTTCTTAACCACTCTTACTATTCCTCACTCCCTCCCCCACCCAACAGCAAGGAATTGATGCATCATCTGTCTTTTAAAGAAGCAACAACTTTAAGCTGCCTAGAAAGGCTTGTATATTTTTATTGCATTATGTTCCCTTCACTGGCACACAAACATGTATTTGTATCCTATCTTTGTTCAAGAACTCAAGGCACAAATATAGTGCTCCATCCTCTTATATTTCTTCACAACCTGGGAGTGGGTTGGGTAGAAAGTCACTAAGTGAGATGCTATGGCTACAGAGAGGGTAGAAATTGGATCCTTCTGATGTCAGACAAATATACTAGTCACTATACTTTAGTCTTTGCCCATCCTGTTTCATTTTACAACTGTTTCTACTCTGAAATTAAGTGTAGACCAGCACCTTCTTTCAGGGGCTGGAGATCAGGTAGGCTGGCTCTGACCTAGCCCTCGGGAGGATCATGTGATCCTATTTTTAACAGCTTCCTACAGCTCAATGGAGAATCTGGCAGGAAATTTAAACTGTTCTGATGAGAACAGCAACATACAATATCGTACTGGAAATAATTAAATTAAAATGAAATATGATCAGCATAATTATGTCATGGGGAAAGAGAAGGGGATGTCATGGTCAAGAGATGACACCAAACTTATCATCAAAGGATGTGGCCAGGAAGACGGGAAATGGAGTAGGATAGTGTTGTGCATCTCTAGAATCACAAGGAAGGGTCCATAATGAGGAGACAAGAAAAGTTGGAGGAGCAAAGGAAATATCAGGTCAAGAATATGTGCCAAACTAATTGGCAAAAATTCCTTAATGTTATAATATCCACAATGAATCAAGCAAAATGCATGGCTTGCATAATGTAATATTTCTGCTGATATTGGTGCCATGGCCAAAATCTGAACTCACTTTCATGATTTTTATGTATTAAGGGAAAGGTCAGAACAGACAATTTGCAACTGCTACCTAATTAATTCCTCAGTTTACCTATTGCAAACTAGTTCAAGAAAAATATCAGACCATACAAGTGCCTCTCCCAAGTGACATTCTTTGGTGCCAAGAAGCCCTTCCAGCAAGGAATTAATAAAATCCTTCTGTGACTGACTATTCAAGGGCAAATCCATCTTTATATTGGATATTTAATGCCAGACGTCAACCAATAATCCAGATTTATTCAGATTTACTTCATGGATCCTTAAGACAGTATAGAAATGAGAATGGGTATATTCTGTAATGATGGAATTCAACACAAGATTGTTAAATTATACAAAGGAGAAGAGGGCAAGAGAGGGGAAGGAAGGAAGGAAGAAAGGAAGGAAGGAAGGAAGGAAGGAAGGAAGGAAGGAAGGAAGGAAGGAAGGAAGGAAGGAAGGAAGGCTTCCAATGCTCTCTGCCAGTTTCTCACAAAGAAACTCAGTATGGAAGTCAGTAGAATATTAGAAGTCACTTCTGCTCCCACTACTTTTTCGCCCATCCTTGGACATTCTGTTTTTTTGTTTTTTGTTTTTTAGGTAAGAAAATATTCTTTAAACAATAATGCAGCAGGGCATGGGTTGACTAGTTTCTAATAAAATTAGGCTCCTGAGAGATCGTTATTGTAAATTTGAAAAATTTATGAGTTATGCATTTATTTTCAGGCTGCAAAAATCTGCAATAATATGCTGTTAGGCATCAGTATGATTGGAACTGCTGAGACCATGAATCTTGGAATCAGGTATGTTGAATTTTACGGTTGCTTTATCTTGATTACATTTAAGTGACTAACCCTTTTATATAAAGGGATATAAAATAATGTTTTAGAAATGTAGAGTAGTCAACATAGCACAAGTTTAGTATTTCATGTTTTTTTAAAACCATTCTTACATTAGAAATTTCAATGAACAGTGACATTCTTTACAGGGCTGCAAAATAAAAGTATATTTTCAGTTTGGTAGAATATATATATAGTAACTCCTTTTCTTTATTATCAGATGAAACATGTAGCTCTGTTTAGGTCGCATACTGTTCATGCATGTATTATAATCCATCAGGAACCAATCTTTTGAATGCAAAATTAGGGTTAAGTTAAGCTTGATCCTGTTAAGGTACCTAGTTAAGCCAGTGGTGGGATTCAAATATGTGAACAACCAGTTCTCTGTGGATGCCACGTCTGGAAGTCTTCTGGGCCTGGGCAACAAAAAATTAGTCTCCAGTTCTGCCGAAGTGGTGCGAACTGGCTGAATCCCAGCACTGAGTTAAGCCAAGAATATCACTTACAGAGTCTGAACTATAGTCTGAACTATAGTCTTAACAGAGTGTACCAAAAAAAAGTGCTATAATAAGTTCTTGTTGTTAAAAACAACTTCAGGGTGTTTAATTAAAAAGTTATATTGTTGTTAAAAGGCTGGTTATATTTGCCAAAATACTTTTGCTTTCATTTATTTGTTTTCATATAAATGTGGGTATATATAATATACATTTCGATTTGAAATTTGTTGTTGGGTCCTATTTTTGGTATCTCTGGATTTTCACAGCATGATTTTACTACACTTATGCACATCCTTTCAGCCACTTGCTAGAAACTGAACACATTACAACACTCTGAGAATATTAAAGAATAAATATCTGGTTTGGCTTTATTTTTTAAAAAAGATACATGAATGTTATAAATATATGGAAACAGACATGCACCCAAAAGACAGGATAATGGATTCACATTTCTTCTTAATTACCATATCAAGATGCAGTTGTTTTATTGAATTGCCCTTGTCTCAGATGTTAGACTATCTTGACCTATTAAGTTGTCATGTTGTAATTGAGATAAAAGAGGAATTTGCTTTGCATCAGTGCTAATTGGTTTATCAATAACCTGTATCATTTACATTTTAAAATTGAGCTTCTGTAAGGTAGAAAAACGTATCTTTAACAAGCCATAACAAAACCCATAAGGTGGTTTACTTCTGCTGTAATTGAGAATCGTAAAGCTGTATCATAGTCAGTTTTAAGACATAGTTTGCTTAATAAAAAAAATCAATCACCTATGACTTCAGTGTATTTAGCTGAAGTAGAAACTCACATTGTCAGCTATAAAAGAAAATGTTCAGCTAGCACAGAATACTAAAAAGTCTGACAGTCTCGTATGCAATCTTAATTGATGTTTGCAGCTACTGCGACATTCAGGATCTTTCTTGGTTTTCATTTTGTAACTTGAGGTGAATTTTTCCCTCCCCATTATTTATATTAATTCTTTGAATTCAGCAGTCTATTAAAATTCTGAATGGTCTGATTCATTCCAGTCTTAGGTGATGCACAAACCCTGTAAGACCTACCTATAGCACAAGGAATGTTTTCTGAAATCTAAATTCTGCCTTAGTTTTTTTCACATCGGACTTCACTTGTGTTGTAATTGTTGCAATGCCAGTGATTGTGATTTTTTTCCCCACTGTATTTCTTTTTATTACACAAGAATTTAATTCATCTCTAATATATGTTTCCCAGTCTACAAAACCGAGTTATAGTTCTTTCCATATGTGTGCCTTTTACATGCAGCCATTGTTTTTCACTGTAAAATACCAAATACATACTCTCCTTAATGATAGTGTCAGCTGGGGTGAGGCATAGATGAATTAAAGTGCAGAATTCAACTGTGGGCCTTGATGAGGAGGAAGAACTCTGCTGATCCACAAATGATCCATGTTGTAAAATTAGCTACTTTGATTCTGAACTCTAAGAAAGTACTCTAGAACTTTGTGATAATTTCCTTCACTAGAAAAATAGTGCAAAATAGTTTGATGTGCATTTATGCACATGAGCACTCACCTACTTTCTTCAAGTAGTTTAAAGCCCACTAGAAATGAAGCCTTCTGCTATCAATTTCTTTTCAGTCTGACGTGTGTGTTTCTGAAGTGACAGAATTCTCCTCTAATAAAATTCATATAGCAGTTACAATTTATAGAGCTTTCACAAGATTGAAAAAAGTAAATTGTATTTGCAAGTATGAATTTCTCTGTAGTAAATTCTCTTTGGAATGAATAAATTATCATGATATGACTACATTCATGTTCAGTTCTGTTTATGTTAGTAGACTGTTTAATTAAAATAGTCTATTGTTTTTAGAATCCTTTTCGTTTCTTCATCTTTTAATTTTTTTAATTTTAAATTTTGAAGAGTGTAATGTACTATTTTTGTCACTTAAATGCATAACACATCATATATACATTTTATGAATATTTAGGCTCATATTTAATACACAATGTTAATACCTTCTGTTTATAAAAGAAGGGAGGGATACAGTTGTCAACATAAGATTTGTCAATACACATAATAAATTATGGCAGAATACAGCATAGTACATACTCAGAGCCTGTGCATGTTGAAAATTTTTGCATGAATCCATGGCATGGTAAAAATTACTGTCCAATGGCAGATTAGACAGGTCTTATATGGGAATAAGAATAGGAGGTGCTGGAAAGTGGGACTGCAAATGGAGCTAAGACAGTATTCCTTGGAAAACTGAAAGTTATATCCTGCAATGCCTGTTCACTGACAGAACAATGTCTATTAAAAGAATAGGAGTCTTATGTATATGCCCATCATGCAACTTGCAGCTTAGGACATCTTTCAGTGCAATTTTAGGATGCTCTGATAGGCAGAATGAAGGAGGATTGGATGTATCTCCATAGAACTCTTATTATTCTTCTTGTGCCATATCTGTTATCGGACGTTGGTGATCATGTTTTTATCAGCAGCCGCACAAAAAAGTGCTGCTGAGTTTTGTCCTAACCAGTCCCTTAGATTTTGAAGCCACGATGTTCTTCTGACTGGACCTCGTTTGCCTTCAGTCTTTCCTTGGAGGATTAAATTGAGTATGCCGTATTTTTCTGGGTGTCCTATCACTTGTCTAAAATATTCTAATTTTTGTTTTTTAATTGTTTGATGATTTCCCTTGGCTTTCCCAGGCGGCTTATCACCTCCTCATTTCTGAACTTGTCAACCCAGCTTATACGTAACAGCTGCCTGTAAATCCACATTTCAGATGCTTCTAGTCTCTTCAGGTGGCCTTCTGTCAGAGACCAACTCTCTCCATAGAGCAGGATAGAAAAAAATATAGCATCTGACAAGCCTGATTTTAAGTCTTAGGCTTATGTCGTGACTGCAGAAGACCTTTTTCATTTTGAAGAATGCTGTTCGAGCTTTTTCTATCCTTTTCTTTACTTCAACGGTTATGTCCCAGCTTTCATGTAAATTAGAACTGAGGTGCATGATCCTTTCAACTTTTTCTAGTGGTATTCCTTCTGAATTTATTGGTGGTAAATTAACGGGTTGTTTGCTAACGACCATGATCTTGGTTTTTGAAGTGTTAAGCTTCAAGCCGTATTTTTCAGATATTTCTGTGACTCTGTTGATGAGGAGCTGAAGGTCTTCATGCTTACTGACAAGCAGAACTGTATCGTCAGCATATCTTAAGTTGTTGATCCAAACACCGTTTACTTTGATGCCAGGGTTGATGTTCTCCAGTGCCTTGTTGAAGATTGACTCACAGTAGATATTGAACAACAGTGGAGACAGAATACATCCCTGTCTGACCCCTCTTCTTATTTCTGCATCAGCTGAGTATTTTTGGCCTAGTCTCACATTTCTTACCTGATGCCAATACAGATTCTTTATTAATTGGATGTCTTTGTCATTTAGTCCCCCTTGTTTCAGGATTTATAATAGTTTGCTTTGTCTTATTTTATCAAAAGCTTTTTTGAAATCAATGAAGCACATGTAAACACTGTGATTGACATCTGTACAATGCTGTACAAGAACTTGAATGCTGAACAGCGCATCTCGTGTACCAAGATTGTTTCTGAAATCAAATTGTATGTTACCTAGATGCTCTTCAATTTTGTTGTATATTCTTGTGTGAATTATTCTCAGGAATATTTTCAGGGCATGACTCACTAAGCTTATTGTTCTGTATTCGGTACACTTCTTTGCATTTATTTTTTGGGGGATTGTCACAAAGGTTGATTTTAGCCAATCATTTGGTATCTTTCCTGTTTCATAAATCTGATTGAAGAGCTGCAGTAAAAAATTCTTCCCATTGTCTTCCAGCAATTTTAAAATTTCTACTGTGATATCATCAGGTCCTGTGGCTTTTCTTGTTTTTGCTATTTTTATTGCATGTTCAACCTCTTCCATAGTGATATTTGGTCCAGTTGTTATACTTCCCATATCTATATCATCCGTAGTGTCCTCAAAAAGTTCTTCAATATATTCCTTCCATCTTTTTAGCTTTTCATTCTCATCTAAGATAATTTCCCCCTCTTTGTCAACTAAGTTGTTGGTTTTCTTTTTGTAGAGGCCTGCTGCTTCTTTCACCTTTTTGTGTAAATTGAAATTATCATGTATATGTTCTGTCTCTTCTATTTCCTTGCATCTCTTTGCAAACCACTTTTCTTTTGCCAGTCGAATTTTTCTACTAATTGTTTTCTGCAATTCATTGAATTTTATTTTGTTTTTATTTTTATAAGATCTTCTTTCATCCATGAGATGAAGAATTTCCTCCATCATCCACTGTTGTTTCTTGTGGTACCCCTCTCTCTGTTTTGAATTTGTTACCTCTGCTATTGCATTTTTAAATTTATTCCAGTTCGCTTCTACATCATCATCATCATCTCCCGATCCGCTAGAAGCATGATAAACCCAAAACTACAAATCAGTATGTGGAATCTGAGAAGAACTCTTATG